TTGTCCGGAGAAGTAACCAGGACAGCGTTCCTGGCCAGCACTCAGTACGCTGTTAAGCTTTTTGTGCTTATTGTATTTTATTCACTTATTGTAAACTTGCATATTATTAATCAGTTATTCCAAATAATCACATTTCTACAATTCATAACATTGTCGAAAATATTCGACAGCCAAGGTTCAGATCTAAGTAAGTCATCAATCTAATGTTCAAATCGCCCGGAAATAGTTAAGGACCTGTGATCTGTGACCGATAACAAAAATCAAGCAGTGAGAAAGGATACCTGGTAACCGTTGAGAGCATCAGGGTTACAGAACTAATTTTGTCTTCATATGTCCATGATATGCCTGCGATATTGGATGAGTAGATCTTACTCGGTGCTATGTTTGCGAAGTAGGAATTCAGGTTCATGGCCAATTAAATAAGCTCGTGTCATTCACTTGTCTGCTGTGTAGGGTGCGTGGATGTCGCTGTCTCTGGGTTGTAAAGTGGTTCGAGTTGAGTCAGCCGATTGTAAATTTTAGCCGATTTTTAAGTTTTAGGAATGTTTTTTGGTGTTCACAAGAAGCCAAGATTTACAAGAGTTGCTTGAGGCTTTGAGTATCTAAAAAATGCAATGAGTCCCACGGATGTATTGCGTCGACTTGCTTTCAGGACTGTGCTGAGGGAGAAATCTACTGAGTGCAAAGTTTTAGCTGTCTTGTGGGTTTTAGGATTGATTTTTTAGTAATTTAAATGAAACTGGAGAGTAATAGAGCGCCTCACATGACATATTTGATTTAAGGATTTCTGATTTCATCCTTGCATTTACCACTTTTTTTGTATGCCTATATAATCGATACGTATATTATTAACATTTAAAATTACAGAAATTAACGTTTTCGTTCACGGGCTGTAAGTATTCGTCGGATTTGCACACCATGTAGACCCATTTTACTACACTTATACCACCTTATACATTATTATTTCCTGCAGATTTCTCAATTATACGGGGTGTCCCAACCAACTGGTCCCCCCTAGACATGGACATTTTAATGTGATGATGATGAGTCCCGCCTCATCTACAATCCAAATGTACACATTTATCCCTCTTTGCGGTCACCGTTAGGTCCCAATTTTGTCGGTTTTGGGAATGGCGAAGATATGAAAGTGACGCGTGGGGCCCCAGCGACGAGGCGGCCTTGGCGGCCGAGCGTTCGGCGGGCCTTCTAGGGCATTCCCGCACGCCCACCTGTGACTCACGTACTAATTAATCGCGGCGATTGTCGCTCGCGCCGCGGATTATTCGTCACGCCAACGACTTTACCTGCATCGAAAAAAAAACTCGCCTTGTAACGATCGGAAATATGGATACGTCGAAGTACAGCGGGCGCAGGGCCGGATTAAATCGGAATTACAACAACAACAAAAGATTAGAAAACTACTTATCTTATATGTGAATTGACACAAAAAGGACCAAAGTTGGTGATGCAGAAGATCTTGGGTAATAATTAGCTAAAAGCGCAACAGTAGATACAGAAGATAGTAAATACAAAGTCCTTATTTTGTAAATACATATATTAAAGAAAAAAATTAATCAAAAATTATTATAAATATGTTTTTTTTATATAGCACACTTAGTACATTTTCTCAGTAATACTTTAATGGGCCTATTTAAAAACGTAAATATTCTCTCATGCTCTTTTTTCCATCAAGGAACAGTAATTTTATTACAAAAGTTTATTGTTCTGTTAAAATGTTCATATTTAAAGTTTAAATAAAATGTTATAATTGTAAAAAGCATGTTTTATTCCAACGTCCCATACTAAATAGTACGTTCCAGGTTCGTACTTTCTTTTTACATGATGTGATGAAAAATAGACATATTTGTAGAAAGTTAATTTTTTAGTTTTGCGGGTAGTTTTTGGGCTAACTTTCAGTGAGCCAAAGTCGTATGACCGTCTAGGGGGATCTTTAACCAAACTCATCTTGTCAGCGCGCGCCATTATTCCATGGCTAGAAATTGGCCTCAATGATTTGGGATCGAGGGGGATTATCCCTCTTTATCCTGCCTCATCTCGTGTAGGCCTGAGGTGGGCCCCATCCGTCGTCTACCCCGATCGCAAATGCGGCCGGTGTAGGCGCTTTGTGGGACCTCCTTTTGTCCTGGCTGGGCCCCGCCGGCTAGAGCCCTTTCTTCTAGCGCTCTTCTTGCTTCGCCGGCTCGTCCGTGTAACCCCGGGGGTAGTGTCATGTTTATGTGTGGTATGGTTCGGTAGGGTAGTGCGGCTATGCAGCCTCGGATGCGCTTTGCTAAGGTGGCCCTTAGCCCAGCGCGGGAGGGGAGGGTTAAGGAGGATATGGGGGGTGTGTATGTGTGTGTGTGTGTGTCGCTGTCTTCGTTTCTTGATCCTGGCTGTCTCTGAAACAGAAAAGGTTAGCGGGCAGGGGGGATCTTGTCAGCGAGATGCGCCAATGAAGAAGAAAGTTCGGAGGTACCTCTGATCTAGTAAATGTTATTTAATAAAGGTTTCATGTATTTAAATATGTGAGCACATTATCTGTACTTAATCCTATTTAATGGCCAATGTTTACCGTTCGACGTTTGGACATAGAATGAGCTCCGGTGCTAATCTGTTACTGTTGCCATTGCTTCTCTGAACTGCTTTACCCTTACTTTACTAAGATGAATAGTGATTAACAAATGTTCTCTAAGAGATAATATGTCTAGAGACAGAGAATCACTTTCCTTCGAGGCTCCCTGTATGTGATGTAGGTTGTAGGCCAGATTATAACTTCAATGAAATCATTTTTATAATGTACGTCTTTTTTCGACATTTTACATGAAAACGACCTACCCTGATCTAATCTAATTAATCAATTTTTTGTATTAAAATCAGTGGCGGTTTTACCATAAGAGCTGCGGAGCTGCAGAACACATAAAATTTTATGTATCTAAAAAAATGTACTCACGCTAAAATAAATATATGAGCTTATATTATTATTTATTACGACGCGAGCTACGCTCCTTAATATATGCAACCTCATATACAAAATGTGTGCACAGCAAACAATTAGATACGTCCTTTGTTTTTATTGGCTAATCAGGCACGTGACCCAGTACACTTTTTTACGCTTTGCGCTTTTGTGGCTGCAACAACGACAGCCACTGCTGCAGTAAATGCAGTAATAATATTTTGTACGTGGTACGTGGTGGTTTTTATCTGCGAGCGGCACGTGTGAATATTTTCGTTTAGGCGTGTACGGATATTATAGTTATTAAAATGAATAGCGTTTCGTTTTAAAAAAAAACTTTATTTGGTTCTCTGCCTTACGAGGTAAACTAAAAATGAAAGAATTAGGTGGACCAACACCACAATTAAATATTGAAGTTAGTAGAACAAGTCGAAGTAAAAGTTATATAAGACAATTTAAAAATAATGTATACACAAAAGCAGAGTGGGTGTGCGGGTGTGATTTAAAAAATTCACTATTTTGTTTTCCGTGCTTACTTTTCGGTGGGGATAAAGCATGGATATACAGTGTGAACGATTTAAGTAATTTAAGTCATTAGGTAAAATAAACATAAGAAATCAGTTGGATTCTGCATATTGGGATAATATACGGAAACACAATGAACAGGTAACGAAAAATCGTTATGTATTATCTAAAATCATAGATTACATAAAATTTTGCGGAGCTTTCGAATTAGCACTTCGCAGACACGACGAGACAGAAGATTCGGACAACCCTGATGTGTTTTCGTGGACTCATAAATTTTAGTGCAGATCTTGACGACATATTAAAAGAACATCTAGCCACATGGGTATGACCGGGATTTTCTGTGATTGTACCGGGAATTAGCTGTATGGTTCCGGATTTCGGATTTGCACGTAGAACTCCCGGAATATAATATAATATACATATATAAAAATAAAGATAAAGAAAAAAGGTATCAATTTCAAAAATCGTTCTTGTGAAAAATATGTATTTTTGTATAAATGGATTGTTCCTTGAAATTCAGAAGTGCCAGGAAAACGCGTGACCTTGAAAATTTTAAAATTTTTCGCTTGCGGCGCCATTTACAGCCTCCAGGCACTTAATATCCCAGAATTCAATTCAACAAATATAACAACCCTAAGCAGAACACATTCAATCAATGTTCACGCGCCGCCACTGATCGAAATTTCAAATTCAGTTCGCCCACCCATCATATACCTACTTCAGTGCCATATCTGTACATTTAAAATAAAAATAACTTTTAATCATCATTATTTATTTACAATGTGTTTTTCCAATAATTTCTGTCCCAATATATGATCGTATCGATTTACTGCCCCAATTATACATATACAAATATTTTACATGACAGTTTAAAAAAATTGTGGCTGTATTAAATCATATGTTAAATTACCTATAACGAGTTGTAAAGAAGATATTACTGTTTATTGCACAGAATGTTGATACATCAACTAAATATAGTTATGATGCATGTCCTACAATCTAGATAAATATATAATTTTTAGGAACTATGATCTTAGAAAACTAAAATTAGACGTAGGTTGAAGTTACCGTCAACTCTTTTTCTAATGTATAGGTACATTATTTTACATTGTAAACAGAACTATTTTAACTCGGCATATCAACCTCGGTTTAATTTATATATTCACATAACGTGATATACAATTTGATAGGTCTGTCTCTAATATTAAAGGACAAATAGGTAAAATATGAGCCATAAACATTACATAAAGACTAAAGAATTGACAGTAATTTCCTGAACTTATGGCAGACTTTTTTGGCAATATCTCGTTTTGTTTGTATCTCTGAAACCCACCATCCAATTGTTTTGAAATTGCAAACAAAATTTCTAAAATTTTGGTTCATATAATTTTTTTTCTAGTATGAGGTAAAAGGGATAGAAAATTACGTTAATATACCTGAATATATTCTCTTTAAAAACAGAATATATTTATTTGTAATGATTTAGAAACAGAAGAGTATACTGTAAACTTTGTTTCAGTATCAATAAAATAAACAGCCTGGTGGATTTTCAGTTCTGTAAGAAACTAGAAGAATTATACATCAGACAAAATGACATTCGAGACCTCAACGAAGTAATGTATTTGCAGAACCTACAGAACTTAAAAAATTTATGGTTAGGAGAAAACCCATGTGCCAATATAGAAGGGTAAGTCATTAAAATTTTGCTGCTTTTATAGAACTGCCACACCTTATTAAAATCATTTTTTACAACTAATTTCATTAGTTCCATTATTTGGTGTTTTGCTGTAGATATCGATTATCGGTAATAAAGGCATTACCGCAGTTGCAAAAGCTAGATAATGTCCAGATATCCCAGGATGAACAACGGGAAGCTCAGAGAAAAGCCAAAAATTTGTATCATCCAGAAGAAGAACAGGATGTAAGTGAGGAAGAAGAGTACGTAGCTCCCACCCCATCGCAGCAGTACAACAGGTATCAGGAGTATCCAGAGCAAGAATACAGCCCTCCCGTTCAAAGAAGTCCTCCCCGACAAGAGGTATAATTTTTGTGTTCATTTTTTTTTGTTTTTTAATTTTTATTAACACCTTGTGTGTTCACAACTAACTATAATATAACTGATTTTTTTTCTGTGACCTCGTATTAATTATATGCAATGTAGTGAAATAATATTTCCCTCCTGAATTTCTTGTTTTTCATGTTATAAAAAAAGAATAAAATATTTTTTTTCACTTTAATCAGTCACTGTTTTATTTATTTAGATTAAGTCTTACATTGCCAAATTTGATAAAATAATAAAAACTTTATTACTGCCTCAATTTTTTCATTATAAATTACGTATTAACCTAATTAACAAAGTCATGTCATTAATCCTCATAGACGGAATATGAATTGGAGGAAAGTGAAGACCTTTATCCTAGAGAAGACGTCTCGGAAGAAAGTAGAGAATACTCACCACCACGACAAGTAAGTCTTTACATCGCTTGTAAGAGAACCCTCTAATTCAAACTCTCTTGTAAAATGTATTAATCGTGTCACTAGTGTTTGAAGTATGTGGTCTTCTTGCCCTTTTCATGCATGTATTGTAATTTTGTTTATCTGTTCCCACTATTAATACATTGTTTTTAAGGAGGTAAGTGGATTTTACCGCAGAAGTGGAAGTTTCTATAGACAACGGGAGGTAACTTACCTCCTTAGGGAAAAAAGCGATTTCGAGTTATAAATGCATGCATTTTATGAACAAATATATATAAATATTTTATGAACATTACATTTTATTAATTATTATGAATGAATATTTATAGTAATTGTACAGTTACTACATTTAGTAACATTTATAAAATCTGGATAATTATTCGCGATTACTAATTGTCACATTTTTCTCAAAATGATTTGGCCATTTCAGTCATCGGAGGCTCAATATTACCTGACTGATCCATTAAAACAGCATGATGCGACATACTACTAGAACCTGGAGTTGAAGTGTCATTGTGAAGAATCCTGTTGGCCATTTCATTTCTGTTACTAAACTGTCAGCAATATGTCAGCAACACAACTTTCTGCAATTGTGGCTGATTTCCACCTGCCATATCTCTTGATTGCTAATACATCAACTCGTGTATTAGCCAGTAACGTTGGCGATGTTCTTGGGAATGTATGACCTGTATATGTTTCAGGATGTTCTAGTTTCAAAAACTGTTCATAGAAAGAGTATTCTTGCCGACTGATTGGTTGTAACATTTTCCTGCTTGATAGCGCATAAAAAAGCGTGAAATTTCAGTTTTAAATTCCAATCTAAGTAATCTTGATATATTTCTTGAGAGAATTTCTAGAGAAACAGAATCCAGACGAGAAGTAATTGTAAACATATGTGACATATCATTTTTTGAACCTGGAATTGTAACTACAATAATGTTATCCAAATTTTTGAAATTGACGTCCAAAGTAAATTTGCATAACTCATCAGAACGGCATACTCCTGCAATACCTAAAACCGTCGCTACCTTCATTAGCCAATATGTGTTATCGGTTGCCTGAACGAGAAAATCGTTGACTTGTTCTCTTATAAAAACTTTTGACTTTTTAGGTGTGTAGCCGTCATTCTTACGTTTTAAAAATGCTCTCAGCTTGGGGTATTTTGATGTATCCACGTTCTCCTCTATGAAAATAGTTGACTTAATCATTGAGTATTCACCCCACAAACTTGCCTGTGACTTTCAAGTTCTTAACTTCTCCGTGAAATATGCTAGCAGTGACATTTCAGAAACCCCAGTATTTTTGTTCTGGCGCCATTCTTTGAAATTTCTATATGCTCGTCCGTAGCGCACTTTCGACTTCTCCAGCAATAAAAATTCGCAGGCAGCATTTGTTGCACTTTCTATTTGAAAATCACTCATTTAGAAATAATAATTCAAAATCAGCAAAATTGCAACTTTTATGTAGCTTTGTTTATAAACACCTTAGAAACGACAAAATCCAAACAAGGCGACTTTGCAAGATTTCAAATAATGTCAAAATGAATTGATTAAGAAATGTCAAGAAATAAAAACTAATCTTTATTTCATGAAGCATAAAGAACTGTGGGAGCAGATAAAATTTTATACACCACACAGCAGTAAAGTATAATTTACCAGTCTCAGACTCTATTGCCAGCCCTCACTCAGCTCGGGCACAAAATCGTCCTCGACTGGTAAATAATACTTACCTCCTTTATGGTGTAAATAACTATTTTGATGCTGACTTTATAAAAATAAGTTGTATAGATCAGATAATTATAGTCTTAATATTTGGGGGAGAATATGATCCACAAACAATTGAGCCACTCTTTGCAGAAACCCCCAAAGAAACTCTTGTCAATTTGGATTGTATTCTTACAACACACGAGATAATATAATTTTTTTCATAAAGTTTTTAAACGCTTCGCAAAATTTCACATTTAATTACAAATGAGATTTTTGCAAAGAACACCTCAATGTTTGTATTATTAATACTACAAGTATGTAATAAACCTAGTTGCCTTCTTCAGTATTAAAATCCGACAATCTAAATTTAATCAACGCAAGGGATAATAATAAGCTCCATCAGTTTTACATTAAACGCTTCTAGTTAGACGTAATATTACCAAATGCGAAATTTTTTTCTTGCCCAAAATAATATATTGATATTTGTAAAGGCTAGCCCGCCAAGAAGGACAGAACCAGTGAAAAGAAACTACACACCAGAACCTGAGTACATAGATAGAAGGAGAAACAGCTACGAAAGAGAATCTCCGAAACAAACACAGTATTACGATGTAAGTGTTAACGTTTATAGACACAGATATAATTTACTAACGATCATAGTGCATAGTCCATTTAACATTACAGTTGTTGTTTTTTCTGCTAGTAACAAACTAATATTATTCTATTAACAGAAGTCGCCAACAACTAACAACTCATTTGAGGAAACGCAGTCATATGATACTACTACAACTTACCGAGAATCAAAAATCGTTAACAGTCAGTCAGCTAGTTGCATTAAGGTAGGAACTAAACTAATGCAATAATGATAGGCCCTTTAAAGATTTTCTTTAGCATTTACTTAACTTTCCCAGTATGCTTATATTTTAGAAATGTTTCATGTGTTGATTTCTCATTTCATTTCCGATGAACAGTAGAAGCGATTATTGTAAATATCTTTTTAACCTGTGGAACTGTAAATAAAATGAATCATTTCTATCAAACCTAACTTTATGGCTAAATTTAACAGACTTACTAGCGTTTGTTTAAGTAACGTTTTAAAGGTATTAATCTACTTTAGGAGTACACAAATGGTGACAGATATGTGCAACAACAGACCCACAGTAGCGGTGAAATTTTAGTCTTGCAGGGTCATGAGAAGAGGGAAAGATATACCTGTCCCGCGGCTGCCCACAGGCCGCCCTTTAATAGGAGACCCGTAACAAGGGTAAGTTGAAAAATTACCTATTGTAAAATTTTTATTTTTTGAAGTGGTGTTCCAAAAGTAAACATTCCAACTTGAGGAGGTTGCTGCTTGGATTTTTTTCGACTTAAAAGCTTTGAAGGACAAAGGTTTCTCATATTTTCAGAAATTTATCTGAAGATGTTTGACACAGATTGATGAAACTTAGGCTGGAAGACTAATTAAATGCAACAATTTAATACATTAAAACATAAATTATTATCGGTAGAAATTAGATAAATGCATTTAAGTTTTTATGAAAAAAATTTCTTTCATTTTATTTGAAAATGGTCCATTTTTTCAAATAGAATGGAAGATTTTTACCATTAGGACTTAAATACAGGTCATTTTTATAATACAATCATTTTTAGAAAGTTTAAACTTGATTTTCTAAAATTTTTCAAATGGAACACTGTATTTTATTGTTTTTATTGACATATCGGTCCACTTCAACTTTTACTAAGCATGTTCTATATCTAAAATTGTTAGTTTCTAAGATATAGAACATTTCTGAAAAAACTTAATTTTATTATTTTATAGAATACCACAAATAAATATTAACTAGTAAAATTAGCTCAAAATGGAATGATAAATTATGAACTGACAAGTGGCAGTTTTTTCCAATGCCATTTCGTGTGACCGAAAAAAATAAAAATTTGGTTTTTCCAGAAATGTTGAAGTGGACTTATATGTGAATAAAATACAACAATAAAATACAGGGTGTTCCATTTGAAAAATTTTAAGAAAATTAAGTTTGAACTTTCATAAAATGATCGTATTATAAAAAATGCCCTGTATAAAATATCGATATTAGCTGATATAGTAATCTTAGCCTAACATTTGCCTATAACTGTCAAATATTTTTGGCCCAAGTGTTAGTAGTTGAAAGTTAATACAACTTCTTTGAGGTCATGTTTTTCCCAAAATTCGAAGAACTTTCTACATAACTCAGCAACAGCCACACTAAAATGTTAAACTGTTTATATTGCCATGTATAGAATTTTCTCAGAAATCTATATGTTTAAAAATATACAGGGTGGTCCATTTAAAGAATGTAATATTTGATGTGTCCCGCCCTGTGTTTCAAATTAATTTTGTCCTTCAGGTTTTTTGATTCTGTACAACTTTTATATAAACTTTTTTTCTGTATTGTGAATAACAAGGAAGTTATTTTACTTTCTCACACTAATGGCCCATCCTGCATCACTGAAATGGCTTTTGCAGTTTATAAGTGAAAAATGTAACTTATTTTGCTCAAACATGCCCTATTTTATTATTTTTCCTGTCTGTAGTTTCATCTACATTTATTCACATTTTTTTCCATAAATCCAATCATACACTACTTTTCTTCCACTTGATGTATATCTAAAACACCTAGAATAGCAGCGATATAGCAAGTCATTTTGTTTCCTATGTCTATTACGTATCTAGTTTAATTTGAAAATTCTATGATCTGATGTAACCCAAGCAACAACCTCCTGTACATTAATAAAATATAATCAACGACTTTCAGAATTCGAACATACTTTCTGCGGTACTGTGTCTTGTGAAGGAGCTGGACTATCCGAGTCTAGAAGTCGTAGAGATGGCTGTAAGGTGTAGAATGGATGAACTGGACGAATGACCCAAAGACAAGCCCACTAAAAGCGATTGCGGTGCACAAGAGATTAACGAGTAGCTTTAACAAGTACAGTCTGAAAATTACCTTACCCATCTTCTAGTATTAATCTGTGTTAAGTTTTACTCTTTAATTTATTCTCACTAGTACTTTCCACGTTTACCTCTTAATTGACTGGTGATTTTGTACCTTAATATATTTTATTTTTTTAGAATCTATAAATTCGTTGTAACAATCGTTTATTAAAGTAATGTAGAAGGTTAGAATTTAATTATGAAGTGATTATAAAAGGCAGAACGTAATAGTTTAACACTACTGTTTACATTTGCAAATGCTCATCAACATTTGTGCATACTGTAAATAATACTGCCGCGATATGTTAGAGTAGTTTTTACACGTTAATATTTACTAAAAGTGGAAATACTTAGAGTGTAAGGGATGCCAAGATGTAGCTCTAATTGTATAACATACACAATAATCGTATTTATGCAGTGATCAGTCTCCATTTAAGTATAAAATTTATAGATGTGAAATTATGAATTACTAGTATTAAAGGTTTTTCACCATTGTGTAAAGTCCAATTGTCTACACGGGGATAGAGTTTAATATACAAAGTGATTCAGAACTTATCCAAAAAAAAAAAAAAAATAGAATTTACAGGGAACTCAAATAAATAAAACATATTCATCAATTCCGAATTGCTATACACGCAAGCTACTTTGTGACACTAACTACTAAAAAAAAACTATTGTAAACACTATCGCAACGACGATTGTAAAATCGGATTCCAGTATTCCGAGTCGCTGAGGCCACGTGGCTCTCCATGCGTATTACGAATGTAGCTAGAGACTACAGTTGTCCAGCTATGTACGAGTAATGGTTGAAAGTACTACAACCTCAATAATTTTTTTCTAGGAAACTTACAAAATTTTTTTTTATGATATTGACTCCATTTCTCATGCCACATCTATTCCCAAATTTGTTTGAATAAGTTGTGAATCACCCTGTATAAATTGAATGTGTAGAGAAAAATTTTTATTCCCATATTTATTTCATTGCAAAATTTTCTACTAGAAAATATTGCAAGCCAACACGAAATTTTGTGTTCAAACTTAAAATTCCTTGCTTAAGGTCGAAACATGAAATTTCAAGTGTGAATTCGAAGATTCAGGTTTAAACTCAGAATTTCAAATTCAAACTCGAAATTTGTCAAAAGAAAATATAAAAAATGTATGGCGTTTCTGAGCTTCTGTATAATCCCATGTTGGGTTGCTCGAACTTTTTGTGAATCAAAACACTACTGATAATCCTACAAGAGCATAGAAAGCCATTTGGTTTTTTGTTTATAATTTTTTTTTATTACCAACACAGAATTTCAAGTTTGAACTTAAATTTTGTTTAAACATGAAAATTTTAATTTGCATTCAAAATCTCCAGTTTTAACTTGAAATTTTAATTTTAAACTTGAGTTGGAACTTCAAGTTTGATCTTGAAATTTTTAATTCGAATCTAAAATTTCTAACAGCAACTAAACATTTTGAGTTTAAATTTGAAAATTTCAAATTGGAAATTGAAATTTTTAGTTTAAAATATGAAATTTCGAGTTTGAATTTGAAATCTGAAGTTTAAACTTAACAATTTGAAACTAAAATTTCTGGCTTCAATTAGAAATTTTGAGTTTACACTTTAAAATTTTGAGTTGGAAATTGAAATTTTGAATTTAAAACATGAAATTTCGAATTTGAAACTCTCGACATTTCAAATTCTAACTTGAAATTTGGTAGCCTTGCATTTTTTATTTACCTTAATTAGGTACCAATATGCAAATTTTAGTTTGAACTTAAAATTTTGAGTTTAAAATACAAAATTTCAAATTGTTTCCCAATTTTTTTTCCCAATGTGTTTTTTATTGTTTTTCGTTCCCAACAGAATTTCAAGTTTAACTTGAAATTTTTAATTCGAATCTAAAATTTCTAACATTAACTAAAAATTTTGAGTTTAAATTTGGAAATCAAAATTTTTGGTTTAAAATATGAAATTTCGAGTTTGACTTCGAAATTTGAGGTTTGAACTGAAAAGTTTGTAGTTTCAACTCGAAATTTCGAGTGTAAACTTGAACTTTTTGAGTTGGAACTTGAAATTTTGAATTTGGAATATGAAATTTCGAATTTGAGTTCAAAGTTTCAAGTTTAAACTCAAAATTTCATTTAACTCACACATAATGTAAAAAATATGACTTGCAATTTCATATATTTACATGTTTCATGATTGCTTAAACGTTCTTGTGGGGACTGATGCCTCGTTAATAAAATTAACTTTCAACTTATATAAGGACCAATCTATATTGTTGTGGTGCCTCCGAATTTGGATTTTTTGAATTTACGTTGGGCTGTGCAATAAATTTGTGTGTTCATTAATTTACTTTCAGGAGTAAACAAATGATGTCTCGAAGTAGGTGGTGCTAATAAATCTAGATTGTAAAGTAGGTTCAAACTTAAACGTTAATTTTAGGCACGTGTGTTAACCAGCTACCATTAAAACTATTAAACAGTTGTAGAGTATTAGCTCGTGTAGACATTCTCCAATATAATTCCAGGTTGTGTTTAGACGTATTATAGTTTTTTGTTTTTAATGTTGGAATTAAATTATAATTTAAAACTTGTTGGAAGCTTGCCAAATTTATTCAATCGGCAGTATAATCTTTTTCAAGTCGAATAATTCCCTCCTTTTTAGACTGTTTGTAGAATTTATTAATGTTTTATATTGTTAATCTAGTCTTTAGTTGTAACATGTTTATTTGCTCTTTTTACAACTTGCCTTATTAAAGTTTTTTATACATAGTGCAATGTTTATATTAAATTAATAATTTTTTAATGTGTGTTTTATTTATCTTAAGAAATATACACGATATACACTGGTTAATAATAATCCGTGCAGTTGTTAATTTTTGTTGAAGATACGTCGGTCGTGGCAAAACCATCTGAATCCACGCAATAATATATAGTGGACCCTCGACTAATTACACTTTGCATGGAGTTATAATTCCCTGTTCCTGCACACGCTAAGATGTGGGAATACATTTTGTAATCTCTAGCACAATCTGAAATTAAATTATAAGTTGCACGATCAAAAAACTGCCTTGGGTATGAAGTACGGTACAGAATGGATCAATTTTTGCACTTCTTATACTTAGAGACGGACGAGAAATAGTTAAACTGCCCCAGGTTTAATGTCTAGGAAAAATAGGACGGAATCCATATTTTGACATTAATGATCATTTTAAGATATACAGTTTTCTATTTTTGGCCCTTTTTTGTGATATTAAATAACTTTTTATTTTAATGTTTCAGTCTTTTCCGTACATTTCTGAGGTAAATTTCAAAATGCGAAAAATACACCGTATCCCATTAAGTAATACAAATTTTAGTTATATCTAAAAAAACAAAAAAAAAGTGAAAAAATATGACGTAGGCTACTATTATTAAACTGCCGCACTTAAGCAGGATACAATAAATAGGCTCCACAGGGTGTATACAAAATTTTGACCAAAAAATTTTCTCGTTTTTGGGTAGTTTAAAAAGAATTTCAACTGGCAAAGCTCTATATCAGTTTACATTTTTCAGTCAATATTTCCAAAATTTTTAATATTTCGCAAATGTAAAATATTTCCCAAAGTATGATTACAGGCAGTCCTCGTACTTACGGCATGTTCAGCTCTCAAAATACAGTGTAAACTCTTTTTAACGAATCTTAAGGCACTGGGGATTTTTTTTCGTTATAAAGAGTTTTTGTTATATGGAGGGAAGAAGGAAAAATAACTATATTTCACCAATTACAATCATTTCTAATTTTATTATGTACTTTCAATAGGTAATTAAATTATTCCAAACACATATTCTGTTGTTAACTGTTATAAAAGGGTGAGCAGGGCAATTGTCTACTAGAAGTAAGATTTTCCATCCCTTTAATTCAGCATCCCATTTTCTAACTTCTTCAAAGAACTGTGATGTCATCCAAGCTGACTTGTTTGCTTTATATGTGACTGGCAATTGTTTTATGTTCTTTTGTTTTTCGATTTGCCTATAACCAAGAGCTTTCTCTTTTCCGTGCCACTCATATTGGCAGCTACTAGAATGGTAATATGCTCTTTAGAGAGTTTTCCTCCCACACATTTTTCTCCTTTGAATTTAAAAGTATTGTCAGGCGTCGACTTGAAAAAAAGTCTCGTTTCATCAGCATTGAAAATGTCATTTGGTGAGTTCTTATCCATTAATTTAGGCCACACGTTATTATTAATCCAGTCGTTAGTCGCATTCATATCGACATCTCGCACCTCTCCGTTCATTTTACCATAGGTAATGTTATGAGGGTGCTTAAATTTTGCTTTAAAGTCAGTAATGCCTAGTTGTTCGGCAAACTTCTCAGCCTTGGCTTTAACAATTGGCCCCGAGATGGGTACATTATTCTGGCGCTGATTGTTAAACCACGACAACATTGCTTGATCTAAGTCTTCGAATTTTGGCTTCCTTAATTTTTTAGTAGACACTCCCTGCAGTTCCGCCTGTAGAATTGCTTCTTTGTTTTTCCAAATGGTAGCAACAGTAGATGGACTGAGGCCTAAACGTCTTCCAACATTACTTTTCTTTTCTCCTTTTTCTATCGCACGTATCAAACTTTTTCGTTAACACATAACGCTTTTCTTTTACTGGCTATCTTGACAGTTTTAAAGTAGGTTTACGACTGATAATAACAATAGGTGCCTAGTGCGTTTAGTAACTGAGTGTAAAATTTCCAAGAAACAATATAGTCCAAAAGTAATGGCACACGTGTTTGAGGCAATTAGCAATAACAAACGCAAGGCAGTTGTTTACGACCTCAGGGTCTTTCTTAGAAATTTCGGCACCTCAAAGATTTAGTCGGAACCTTTTGTAAGCTGATTACACTATTAAATATTTCTGTAAATATTTGCTGGCGTCTAAATATGAACATATTTCTTCGTAATAGAGAATGGCTGGTGCACAATAAAGAGTGTATTAATGTATGGGTTTTGACGTAAACCAACCAAATTGACCTAATTTCTATGTTATAGGAAGTTTTTCGTTATAAAGAACGACATTATAAAGAGTTTACACTGTATATGATGTACGTCGATACATTTTTTTTCATCCATTTCCACAGTATGTCCCCAGAAAAGGTGTTGAATAGGAAAAACTTTCTTATTTTTCATTTTATCGAAAAAAATTGCTTTTGATAAAAAATGTTGCTGGTTCTTAAAGTATGATTGGGATAGAAAAATTTAACATTTTTTGTACGTGGTGATCAAAAAATTGAAAATACTTTAAATCGTACAAGAGTAAAGTACACTTAATTGTGAAGATGTGGAAATAAGTTACTCGGAAAATTTGTTCAAAACTAAAAGACGGTCTTCAATACCAATTTTCGAAAAAATCGGCCCACTTTTATTTATTTGTAATCATTAAATTTATTTTATACAAATTAAATTATTCCAAATTAACAATTCAATCTTGTTCTAGTAGGCGTTGATAGTAAGAAGTAGATTTGACAATTCGCTGTTATAATTTATTACCCCAAATTATCATTAAGAAGAAGAGCTGATAATCTCCAATTTGTTAAAAAGTCGGAAATTCAGAAGATATTAAAACATGATAAGATACATCCATACAAGCCAGTTTTTAATCATTTTTTGGAAATCAGTGTTGAAGTAAGACATTTGGATTTTTGTTTATGGGTTGGCAGTTACTTAGATATGTTAAGAACAAATTTTCTTGATGGTGCATTTTATTTTCAACAGCCCAGCACATTATGCGGCAAGTGTAAGACAATGGTTAGACCATACATTTCCAGACCAACGGATTGGCAGACAAATATCAGTTCAGTGGCCTCCTAGGAGTCCAGATTTGACAATAATGGATTTTTTCCTATGGGGTCGACTGAAACAGATTGTTTACCGCACACCTCCAGTAGTTTCCAATATCGATCAATTAAAGGGCGCGATTAGAGATGCCATTGCTTCAATATCTTTAGATGAGCTTAGAAGAAGTTTTGATGAATTACTTGTCGGTTTAAAAACGTGCTCAATATGGTGGCAGTGTGTTTGAGTAAATAAACTTTTAAAATTTGTGAATTGTTGATTTAGAATAATTTAATTGTATAAAATAAATTTAATGATTACAAATAAGTAAAAGTAGGCCCATTTTTTCAAAAATTGGTATTAGAGACTGCCTCTTACTTTTGAACAACTTATCCTAGTAACTTATTTCCACATCTTCACAAATAAGTGCACACTGCACTTTACTCTTGTACCATTTAAAGTTTCTTCAATTTTTTGAACACCCCGTACAAGAAATGTTAATTTTTTCTATTCCAAGCTTACTTTAAGAACCAGTAAAAATTTTTATCAAGAGATTGATAAAATTAAAAATAAGAAAGTTTTTCCTATTCAACACCCTTTTCTGTGGACATACTGTATATAAAGTGAAGGAGTTAGGTTCTATAACGTAAAAAACCATGTATTTGGTACATATTGCACATAAAAAAATAGGAAGAACCATAATAAAAACTAAATCATTGGTTTAAAAAATGTATCAATTCGATTTTATTTCACTTCATTTTTCTTGTTTTCAAACATTTCTTGATAACACTGACTGTGATACAAATACAATAAAACAATAAAACTTTTTTCAAAATTTGGATCAAGTTCCTTAAAAATATTGTGAAATAGCCCATGACATATCTCGAAAGCATTGATGTTAGATTAAGAACTGGTGTTAAAATATTGTTCGACGCAACTCGAAGTGACGTAACTAGCGAACTGCCTGTATTTAAAAATTTATACAGTAGCTGTAATACAATTTGCACCAAATAAGGATTATCTAGATATGCAGTTTGAGTATAGATGAAAATGATTATTTTAATCAACTAATTTTTGTCTTACAAATCTACTCTCAAAGTGAAGTACCACTATTTCCGAACACCCAGTATATATTTTTGACAAATATGTATTTTTTTATAATTATTCCACAACACAAAAAAATGCTGAAAAGTAAAAGTTTGTGTTCAATTGCTCTTCAAATAAATAGAATCTGAAGCAGCTTAACTAATTTTTGTTCATCTCCTCGGGAACTACAAAAAACCCCCTCCCTCCCAAAAGCATTTAAATTGGTTCAAGGCTCACCTTATACGGATTTTCGAAAACAGTGATCGTATTAATCCGATTATTAGGATCAGTAATCAGATTTTAATAGGTTCTGATCCTTTCTACCCTATTAAGTAGGATAAATGGGTCGGCTGTCTTATTTAACCTGACAATTCAGACAGTTCATTGGTTCGTTCAGTGTTCAGTACATAATTGACATGATAAACAACAGTAAACATCGTAAATTAATCCACTAATAATTTATTTTTAACGTCGATGTCAGATTTATGTTTGTATCAGTAATCAGATACTTCCTCAAAATCAAAAAACAGCTCTTAGTTATCCACCTAATCTCAGATCATAGTTTCCGAAAACCCCTGTGTCTATTTTTTACTTACTGCAATCTAAAGTACTGATATCCGTACTGGTATCACTCTGCCATGTTCCTATCTTTGAACCATCTCTCCATGTACAATAAGCACTGAAATATTTGAGATTATGAATAATTTTTAATTTATAATAGATATATATTGTTTGTTGCCCAAAATTTTAATTTTTCTGTCTGAAAAAAGTTACTTACATTCCTGAACTTATACTATAAGCTCCATATGCTCCATCACCATCACACAATAAATTTCCTAAATTGGCAAATTGTACACCATGTGTTTCTAAAGTTGCTAATATTTTTGTCATAGCATATTTAGCACTCTCACATTGTCTCAAATACTGGCTTCCGACTTCAGAAGCACTGTCTGTAAAATAATTAATCCCATTAAGAGGTCTCCCAATAAATAATACTGTGATGAAACTACTTACAGCATGGAAGTTTTGTAAAAGCTTTTTCAGGAACCACGGCTGAAGTCAAATCACCAGTTTTCGGTTCCACGCACCAACACAATCCACTGTCGCACTGTAACTTTTCAAAATTCCCTTGAGTGTCACAGTGAAAACTTACATAAGACCTTCCAGCGTCCAACAAATCAGCTTTCTTCCTACTACAAGCTATAAATGAGTTGATTAAATATATATTTAGACCAATTGAAATAAAAAAATGATTAAGTAAATATTTACCGCAAGTCATATCATCGGATTCTAAGTAGTTAGCTTGTCCAAACAGTCTGTTGCCATTCTTGTCGAAACAAAGACATCTAAAATGTATATTTAAATATTGTACCATTTACAGTTAACTTGGGTAATTAATTTCTAAAATTTAATAAATACCTTCCACTAACGCCTCCTTTGCATTGCTTTGCATTCCAATAACCGTCAATATCACAAGTCGGTTTAAATTTTAATGCTGTATACTTAGTGTATCTAAAATCTACTGTATTCGCATGGTACGCCATACAAGAGTCTATAAAAGAAAAAAACAAAATGAGAAAACCCCATTTATGAATAGTTGCTATAAAATCAAAAAAAAAAGTTATGCAGATGACAGTCTTTATATTTTCTACCGCTGTATCAATCACTTCTTAGACACTTTTTGATAACAAGAGCTTGTGAAAAAACTCATTCGCTGTTCTAAAAATAGGAAACCGTTTACCTGGGTTAGCTACACACATTTCCACACAATTAGATCTCGAAGGACAGTCAGATGAGGTAGTACACGGAATTTCATTGTTGTCCGCTGAAAAAAAAAAACAATTTTTGTTAAAAAATAAACATTTTTGTTTCTGATCATGTCAATCTGTCTAAAGACCAATACCAAAATTTGTAGGTGTATGTACAGAATATCTAAAACATAACTGCCATACTTCACAAAATTTTGCCGCCTTAAAATATTAAACTTTCAAATTTCTTTTTATCTAATTTTTCTGAAAACTTGGTATAGCAGTGTTTTTGGAGTAGCCAAATACAAAAATTAATTTTTTAATTAAGTCTTAAAAGATTACTAAGAAAACTATAAACGGTCTTGGTTTTTTGTTTTTTATAGTTTTAGATAAAATGCAGGTGTTTCTTTGAATACAGCTTTAGAAAAGATATACTTGTCGCATGTCTTTAAAATGCAGTCCTGAGCAAAATGGATTTAAATTCTTTGCAGGTAATGACAACCGAGTATCTAAAGATATTCTATTCTAACGACACTTTAACTTTTCACCTTTATAACCAAATTAACCATTTCTTATAACTTATACCTCTTATTTATAATAAAAAATCAGAATACATAGGTCTTGATTTAAAACCATGGCACCCATTCATGAAAGGTTATAATAATTGATTTTATTCTTAAATGCTAATTTTTAAATAAGGCTAAGTTGGATCAAATCTTCCGAAAACGCCTCTAAGGGATATTTGATTGAAGCATATTAAAAAGTAACAAGAGATGTCATAAAAAATATTTGTTTTCTGGTCACACTGTATAAAACACAAAATCTAGGGATGATACCTACATGATCCACTGCATCGATGGCCACAGGCATATCCGGGAGCACATGGGCAACTTACTACTCCGATAGCTGTAAAAATAAGAAAACTATTTTAAATTTGAAAACAGTTACATACATTTTTAGTGTTTTCATTATTGCATGTTTTTTTCATTAAAATTAAAATGTAATAAAAAAACTCATATGATTTTAATTCATATTAAAAATCCACCCAGATGTTGCAATGGTCATTCAATGATTCATTTATTACCATAAGTATTATATATAAGAAATATATATTTTATTAATATTATATTAGTTTTATAAGCAACGTTGCCTGTCTAATGTATATACATAAAATATTCCATTCTACTTACTATCTTCATATTCCTTACAAAACGGCACACAACTAATGTCTTCATCTATCCAATAGTAGTAAGTAATTTCATCTGCAGTTTTCATATCTATGCAGTCCTGTTGCGAGAATTCTGATATTAACGTTTTATCGCATGTTTGCCCAAACAAAGATGGGCAGTAGACGGCAACCACCAATATGAATATCCTCAATAGGAACTTCATTTTACACAGTACATAATTAAATTTCTTGAGCATTTCACCTGCTCTATATTGATAAAATTATTCATCAAGCAAGTAATCAAGACAACAGTCTATCTAATCTACTTTCTTTATCAGTTATCAGAAATATCGTATTTCCCATTCAATAGATAAATAAATATTATTCCTGCATACTATACTTGAAAATATCACAGATGTTGCAATATAAATCATTTAAGGGCGATCTATATATCTCGGTATTATATTTTCTGTGGGTGTGTAGTTTAAAAAAAGTTTTGTTATATTGTCACGTTTACTAAAGAGGACTCCATCCAAACACCGGCGCCTCCAACAGATATGCCCAGTTGAGCTTTAAAATATTGAAAATAATTAGTGAAAACAAACACTATTTTCTCAGGGCTACTCTCTTGGCTGCTAAAAGTATAAAAACGGAAAGGCAAATCAATTTTACCATTTATTATACAAAATACATACTCACTCTTCGGTGGGGTTACTTTTCCGGTGTAGGGCAGAATGGCTAGTTGCGGATTGGCTCTTGGCCATCGACAGAGTACTGGCCATCAACTGGCTATCATTCGTTTAAATATTCTTTACAAAATGCTGTGTGCATTAGAATTAAATATCTGATAAAAGAATTGAGAACAAAAACCAAGTCAGTCTCTCAGTTTATAGAAAAAGCGAGCGTGATGAGCATAGTGCAAGAGTCAGTTCAATGTGTACACAGTTTGCAAGTTGACACTTTTCATTGCCTTTAAATCTATTGTGTAATGCTAACATGCTAACATTCCAATTATATTTATAAATTTTATTCTATGAAATGAGTTAAATGAATATACGTACCGTGTATGTATGTGTTCAAAAAAAGTAATGCCCTATGTCCATACATATTTATCTTTCATAGTCTTTACAGCAGTTACAGGGCGATTATTTAAATCTTGAAAATTACTCTTCATCTCTCCAAAATGCTTATAGTTGATGATAATATAGTCACTTCACCACCTTTTGTTCTGAGACTTTTCTTATTTATATCATCCCATAAATCTTATTCATTGTGCAAAACAAGTTTAGATACATTTTTCGAGTACATGGTGTTTTTAAATTAAAGAACACAAATGCTAACAGATTAAGACCAAAATATAATTGGAACCTTAGTCCAAAGTTGCTTCATTTACAATTTACTAAGTGTGTAAGTTTTTGAAAAACATCACAAGTGTATATTATATTGTTGATAGATGTTTGACTTACTTAATAAAATTTGGGCTGGTGATTTTTTGTTGTAAATACAATTTTAACTCCAATGTAATCAATAAGAGTCTAAAAAACCATTGGCTTAGAAATTTTGAATTTTCTAAGAAGCAAATTCCTAGGTTACGGAATTTTCTGGAGTATTAATAATTACAATGTATTTATAATTGCATTTGTAGTAAAAAATTCTCATATTGAATTTGTGAAAGGTACAGTTTTAGTAGTTTTGATTTATGTACACTTTCTTGGAGTTAACCGCATAGACATCCGAGGTAGACATTGGCGACGTGGCGTTCACTGTAACAGCTTGCAGTGCATACTGTGTTTTGCAGTTACGAAGGCGTGTTTCTTCATAAGCATCCTTGGAATTCTATCTCAACAAATATCGTACAGACTGTAACTTTATTTTAACCAATATAAAAATTACTGGAAAATTATTTTTTTATTTGAAATACAACTGTAAATCTTATAGAATCCCCTATACACTTAATCTTGTGGAAATTCTGAGATTTTTAGCCGAACCAAAATAATAAACATGTTGAAAATGAAGATCAGCGTAATATTACTGGAATTTATTATATCTGTAACTGCAACTGTGAAAGAGCATGTCATATGTATTTGTATGAATATCCTGAAAAAAATGTATCGGAATTTGTTTGAATTTTGAACACTCGAGAAACCTAGAAATAACTATGGACACGGGAAACTCTAATGTTTTATTTTAATGCGTGGTGGTAATAGTTTAAATAACTAGATGGATTTCACAAGGTCTAACGACACTTACAGTGTGGGATAATTCAATAAACAAAGAAATCTAAATAAAAAATTTATATAAATTTGGAACAAATACACTAGATGAATTTTTCGAGACAAAACGTCTGAATCTGGTTCAGGCCGAGGCAATACGATATTGGGGGTCATGAAGGCTTGCAAAAAATGTAATTAAATTTCTATTGTCGTATTTAAAAAAATGAAGTTGATGATGGTCCTGGAGAGACGAAACATTACATATAAAAATTGATTGTGCCATTTGATAGAGGGTAAAAAGTGACCATGAGAAAGTATTCTTTTTTCAATATCACCTCAAACAAGGCTAAAATGAAACAAAAACGGATTTCCAAAATTTCGTGTTTTTCAAATATTTCGAAAACTAATCATATTAGCTTTGATTTCTTAAGAGGCATAATGTTGGTCCCCTGATTACGCAACTTTCCCCCATTTAAGTTACTTCGTACCTCTTACCGTTTCTGAGATCCCTGTAGTGACAAGCAAATTTGTAACAGCCTGTAGAGGTTGAAAACTTCAGATAAGTGAATTTCAACTGTTAATATCTTAAAAACGTAATAAATAAAAAAATCATATTTTTTGGGAACCGGAAAGAGTAATTTCTTCATAAGAAATCTATTTTCAAAGACAATGAATAGGTTTTGACATATTTTATTATTCAAATAATTAGGTAACATTCTCAACAAAGTAAAAAACATATTTCTTTTTCTTCCAAAATAACAACAGATCACAAACGATTCCTTATTAATTCACTTTCTCTTCCTTTTAAAAGAGAGCGAAACAGGTTCTGGCAAAGGCAATTTTAAAGTGACAACGGTCCTATTTTTGCCGGAAATGTTAAACGCGAGTACCCTAGAAATTTCCAGTACTTTCTTGATTCCAATTTTGAAATCTTTGGAGAGTGTTTCAACATTAACCTGATAATTCCCAGCCACTGCCGCTAATACCAGTATAGAACATAACGCTTTATCTTTCATTGACAGTGGCCTGTTCCTAAAAAATTCAAAAGAATTACGATTAAGATAGAACTTGGAGCGATGCTACAGAATAACACAATCTGAAAGTAAAATAATTGTAACACTTACCTATGGTGGGTGCCTGTAATAAATGAATAATTATCCAAAATATGACTATTTACTTCTGGAGATTTATCACAGACTACAAACTTCTTTGTGATGGATTTCATTGGCGTATTCATAAATTTTATCAGATAGTTTATGTATAAAAATACAGCAATTTTATAAATTTTCGTCTCATTCGAAGATGTCACAATTTCGGATATATTTGTAGAAGCAAACGAAGTAAGGCTGAAAAAATAAATAATGTAGGTATATATGATATCTTTTATACAACGAATATTGTTTTGTCCTTGGATTTTAAGTAGTGCAATCCAAAATAAAAGAGTTATTACCTATAATCATCTAAATCACCTCCTTCGGATATGGTTTTTGCTTCATTACCAAGTGATTCCAGCACACTCTTTGGCACTATATCTTCCACATTATACACTTGATCTATCGTAGATGCATCTCTATTAATTTTTGGCCTATAAAGACTATCATTTTCATTAGATGTGGCAAAATTTGTATTGACTTCATCAACTTTTATATCTAAAATGAAGTTCAATATACACACATACTTTTATAATATCCCAATACTGTAATTAATAAGTCACCCACAAACTAAATATCATTGCAGGTACATAAAATGATAAAAAAAATGAATATTAATGTTGCTGCCTACTGCCTAAATTACCTGTAATAGTTTTCTCCAGTTGTTCTTTTACGGTATTAATGTTCATCTTCAAACGTTCCTGCTGTTCAGTACTCCTTTTAGTTTTCTTTGATCCAAACTGTTTGTTTAATTCTGAAACTGAGCTTGCAGTTGTTGCTATAGAAACGTCCATTAAATTGCTTTTCTTGTCTAGCAATGGAGAGACAGTGCAACAATCCACTTGTATCAAACGAACCTGAAAATTATTTTACTACTGTAAAGCTGAAGACTATTTCTTCACCAAAAAATAGAGTTAATAAAAATTCCAACAAATGTTTACAATAATAATTATATTTTCTTATGGCTTGTTTAATTCATTTCAATATTCTTCTTACTTTTCCGGTATTTTTGTTATGGACTAATAGGAAGTTGTTGTATAAGTCATTTTCGGTATCAATCACTCCTGTATATAACATATTACCATTGGTAACTCCAACAACAGTTTTGCCGTCTCCACTTTTATACAAGGATGACTTTACATTATCACCTTCGTTTGAGTTAATTTTGCTATTTTGGAAATCAACTACAAGAAAAATGTAAACATGATAATACTAGTACACTAATGATATACGTACCTAGGACTGGTCGTAAACCTTCTTCTTTTGTAATTATTTTCTTTATAATAGGCATTGTCAAGAACTCAAAACTGTAAGAGAAATGAACGAATTAGCAAATCATAAAAGAAGTAAATATATCAAAATACATATATGAAATTGAAATTAAAGTGTTATATATGTACGGTTATGTTCCTACCTACACTACAATACAACCACATACTTCTATCTATAGGATAGAAGTATGTGACTACAACAGCCATAGATACAAGATACGAGATCTTTAGACAATAAATGGTCTATGACAATGGTCAATGACAATAGGCTATTTTTCGCGAGTGAAATCGTATGTTATAGGTTGTAGTACAGTATGCAGTATAAGCACAGTATAAAAGAATAGTAATTACAAGACAGATATTGACTAATATTCAGTTGCGAAAAAAAGCCAAATGTGTTGATGTTCTTCAAAACGTTGTCTATAAAAGCTGCTTTCCAATAATTCCAATTTACCAAAAATGTACTTCTGAACCATTCACATTAGCTTCTTGTGTTCCAATAAGCTGGAACATTTTACCCTTCAAGTGTTCTTGTTTGTTTTCCGTTGCCTCCTCACACACCACCTTTTATTGTAGAGTTTTATACTCCCAAACTGTACACATACCATGGGACGTTAGGATTTTTTAATTATATATTATTATATTATATTATTAGTCTTGGATTATTTTATTGTAGTTATTATTTGTACTACTGTGCTCTAATAAGTGAAATTTAAATTTGGCTGTAGGATGACTATATTTAAAAGGAAGCTCTTGAAAATTATTTAAATAGTGTTTTTCCCAGAGGCGTTCCAAGTTTGGCGTGGAAAGAGTAAAACAGTAACAGAATACTTCAGGAGCAGTTCCCAGGAAAGCAGCTAATTTTATAATTTTTTCGAATAAGTTTAAGGCTTTATCTACATCCATGCTTGATCACGCATTCGTTGTAACCACGTGACCATCAACATCCAATCCATTTTGACTTTGACAGAGTGTCAAGTCGCTTTACTGATGCACAAACTAGATGCTGATGATCACTTGGTTACAATCTTCGAGTATATACCACTGCAGTAGCATGCCATTGCGAAAAGTGTGGCTGAGTGTGCGAGAGAGACAGACAGTATCTCAGTATCATTTCCAAATGAACGCTCCAAACAATCGCGGCGTGCTAGAGTGAGACAGCATGTACTGAGATACTCTCTCTTTCTCGTACACTTAGCCACACTTTTCGCAATGGCATGCTACCTCCCGTAGTATATGCTCGAAGGTTACAACGGATCCGTGATCACGCATGCATGTATCCCAGGAACCTATCTCCTGGAATCGACAAACACGATACCTGGGCGTGACGATGGACCAGCGTCTCACGTGGAAACCGCACATCGTGGAGACGGTGGCGCGAGCGAAGACCACCAGGGCNTCCTGTATAATCTAATAAAAGAAAAGTTCTGTTGACGTGTGATGAGGTCTCGACAAAGCAACTATGAATATGTTCACATAATATTGACAATAGCAACAAAGTATACTTTATTTATTTGTACATATTGTAATTTATATTACGTGCATAAATAATTAAATTCGTATTTTTCATATAATTCTTGCTGGTGACATCACTATTATCATTACTGAATTGAATAAATCATTTCCAATTAGTTGCTGTTTCTTTCCTGTTAGTAAAAAACTGATTGAAATTCAGATATATAAAATTTAAAGAGAGGATATGTGTAGTAATTGATGCTGATCGATCTGTATTGGTAATTGACTACTTTTACTAAATATTTAAACATGGAAATCAATTGCTTCATGAACAAAATTTAAATTTAAGAAGATAGACTGACACGTATTACTTATTTTTAAGTCGTTTTATTTGTAATACATATTTACTTTGTTACTTGTTTGTTATCAATAAATATTTATTTTATTTTAATTAGGCACAAATAATTTCGTTTTTTTGATTCAATTAATAAAACATTGAAATCTTTGGTAGATAAACATTTTATTTTTACAAAATATATAACAAAAATATAGAACATTGCTAAAATATTTCTTTATAATTAATACCTTATTAATTTTGGTCTATACTCTACCTTGGAATAAGTCATGGAACCATGTTACGTTCGAATTAAATCAACAATTTTACGAAAGTAGAATTAAATTTTAAAGCAATTTTAAAATATATACCCAGAAAACTAATCGATTTTAAACAGTTATAAAATATTTAGATTACCTAATTTTTGTGACCTTTACACGACGTCCTGGGTAAGCGGCGACAAACGGCCGGTGCGGCCGGTGCGACCGGAACGGCCGAAGCAGTGATTTTCAAAATTAGAGTATCATAGGTTCTGTCCTACGTACGAGGTACCGCCCGGCACAAGCGGCTCGTGCGGTTTTCATGCGGACGACGCGATCAAATTATTTGATAATTCTGCCTCTGCCGCTTCAGTTTACATTTTCAAATCTTAAAAATTATATGATAATTATATAATCGACCATTCGCGAGAATGGACCTGCACTCTTAACAGAAATAGGCGTTAGCATCGCGTCGGCCATTTCAACCGCGTCGAACGCGCCGGCCGCACCGGCCGTTTGTCGCCGCTCACCCAGGACGCCGTGTTATAATGAAGTACCTATATTTTGTTAAAATTTTGGTATCAATTGGTTGTCATGTTGTTTTAAGCTTCTTGACATTTTGAGAAGAGAGCGATATGACTCTCGAAGCATTGAGAAGTCTAAACCGACAACATGGCAATCAGCTTAGAAATTGTCCAACCATAATTTATCGACTTTCCATAGTCAGTTTTCAGTTACACTATAATATAGTATATTATTGGTTATTAAAAAAAAATATGGATTGTGATATACTCTATCTTATATGAATTCCTTTCCCATCAATTATTCCTATAACCTGCTCTGGAAATTCATATTGGGCAAAATATTGTTCGATTACAACTGCCTCATTATCTCGGCCATTCTATAATTTATGGAGACAAGTTACTTAGCAAGTATGTAACTTTTCTGGTTGTTGTAGAGCTTAAGGCAATGCAAAATTTACCAGAATCATGGGTGAAATAATTAGAAATGGCAAATTTTTCTTCAATTCTGTTAGCTACTTCCCATATGCTAACACGGAAATGTTAAAAAAAAATTGGCCACTATATTCAGGTACAGTAATTTCAAAGTAGTTCTTATTTTTTACTCTTTCTGTTTCTTAGAATAAATCTATTTCATCATCACTCTCAAGCTGGACAATGCGTCTAATAAGTCATCTGAATCACTGGACTCAAAATCGGACATCTGTAATATTTTAAAACGTTTATTTAAAACACCGAGTATTTTTATATTCTATTTTTTATTACCACAAGTAAAAATTCCATATTAATACAAGAATTACTATTTTTTTAAAGGCAACTTCCTGATATAAAATGTGACTTTTACTAACATTAAACTAAAATATTTAACAAAGTAATTATCAAAAACATAAACCTTAGGCCGGTGTCCCATGCATCCGATATCCGACGTACGATATCCGATAATATTTTAATTCGTACGAATGATAATATTCCGGTGTCCCATGCATCCGAAATCCGATGTACGATATCCGAAAATATTTTAATTCCTACGAATGATATTATTATAATTCACATGCATCCGAAATTAATCTTTTAGAAATCAAGTATAGAACCATGGAATTTATTACAAGATGAAGGTGAAACATTTTCAAGTGACAACCATAAGTAGTATATATTATAGAAAATATACGTAGTATTATATTTTCCACATTCGACATTATAATATAACATTTATTTGACTGTAAATATATCAAACAACAATCATAGTATGTTAAAAACTTAAAAAGTGAGGTTAAAAAACATACGATTTCGGATAAAAGTTAAAATTATTTCTACTTTTTCCGACGTCGTATGAATTTAAAAAATTTCGGATGAAAATGAGCGGTAAAAATTTGAATGTATATTAACCAATAGGAACACTTTCGGACCTTCGTATCGTCGGATTTCGGATGCATGGGACACCGGCCTTACTTATAGGTTAATATTAACAAGATCACGTCATAAATTCCTTGAAAACTAGTTTCTTTCTACGAACACCAAATTCTTCTCATAAAGCTAATATTTTTTATTATCTATTTAGTTTAATTACAGTCCGGAATGACATATTTTCATGATTTTTATAATTCAAAGTAGCTTACATTATTTATTTTAAAATTTTTAACACATTACAAAAATGACATGATTGATTTATAATTCAAACTGCCGCTTTTTATCTCCCCTCTCTACATATGGGACATATGGAACACTAGCGCCCTCTTATTTTTGAAAGATTTTTGTTTACATGGAGTTCGGGCTCCTTGTAGTCCTTGTACAGTCTCCATGCTCCTATCCTTCAAGTATGTTTGAATTTTCAATACATTTTGTGTAATTAATAAATTTTCACACATTTTGAATAGTTTATTATGTAATAACCCAATATCTTAATAAAATACTTTTTTTATATAAATAATACAAATTGACATGTCAAACAGTCATTTTGAGACAAACTAGAAGAATCTGTCGAGGTATTTAGTCAAACTAGTCGCTCTATAATCTCTGTTTTGTACTGCTATTAGAAAAGGTGCATGAAGTAGCTTTAATTTTAAACAAAGTAGTAACTATATCATTTTGCTTATAAAGATATAAGAAACAATTTAAAAGAAAAATATTTCAGAAAGCCGTTTTTTTCAGTTTTTAATTTACGACTGCAAAATTTATAGTAGATTACCGTTTTTAAAGATTTTGAATAGTTTGGTACAATTATGTTAAAAACTGCACATTTTATTTAGTTTCGGAACAACCCTGATTTCAGAAAAAAATCTGTTTTTTGTGAAAGAATGTTTGCATCAAGAATTGAACTGAATAATAATTTCATTTGTTAATTCTATCATTATTTATTAGGAATTCATTATTACCTGTTAAAACTTAAAATAAAATAACATTTTACTATAAAATATAAGTTTTGTATGTATATTTTACAATTTAATTTTCTTAGCTATAAATTGATCCTTCTTCTTTTTGCTTTTTTGATTTTGTAATTTACCATGAATTTGAGACTGCACCTCTTCTTGAAGTTGGGTGAAGAATGCGCTTGAAGATTTAACAGCCTTAGAGCCAACATGTTCATCCATCTGTAAGGTAAATAATAATGACACCATTAGGTATTAAAGAAAACTTCAGCTAACTTACTTTTTCAGTATTACTCTCCCTCGTCACTTTTTGTAACATTTTCTTAGCCTTTTCTTTACTGTATTTGTTGCCTAAACCAGGATTCAATTTATTAACGATATTTTCATGTTTTTGTTTTTCTTTTAGATGTGCTCGTTGTTTCAGTTTCTTCTTTCTCCGTTCTCTCTTTTTATCGGTGGGTGTTCTTTCGCTTTTTGCTACAATTAAAATTAAATCTAAACTTTTACTATGAGATATTCATTTATATCTAATAACGATATATTAAAAAAAAAAAACATTGTATATAAATTCAATTTAGATGACCTTTATTAATAAGTAAAACAAAAATTACCTATGATTTCTCCTTTAGTCTTATTCCTCACTTCTTCAGGAGCGAGCAATGCTGCATCGCTAGCAGCATTTGGAGCAACTTCTTCCATCGTAATTGCTGGTAAATTATTGACGATTTTAAGTTCTGGAATAGACGGTTTAGGGGTGAAGTGAAAGTTGGAGAGTGCATCTAATTTACTGAACAGATTCTTCATCAATGTTTTAATTTCTTTATGCAATTCTGGCTCTTCGTCCTCTTTATCGGCATTTTCCGGGTCTAAGGCAGCTTGCTGATCCAGAAATTCTTTTTCATATATTTGTGCCAGAGACTGTTTACTTTTTTCTTGATCTAACACAAGTTTCTTCTTGTATTCCAAAGGTGTTTCGACAGGCTTAACTTTTCTTTCAACACTGTCAAACACTCGATCTTTTATTCTCTGTTTAATAATGTCTTCTAACTGTAGAGTTGTTTGTTCGGTAATTATTGGAGCTAAAATAAACATAATAAGGACATACTAAGCACAGTGTGAACAACACACTTTATTTCCTAGAAACATAATTCTACATTTTATTATTTCTAAAATTTCGTATCAACTCACCTGGTCTTGAGGTTAAGTCAAATTCGACAATCTCCTCTAATAGAGAATTTTGAGGTCGATCCTCTGCTCTAATTTCACCTTTCAACTGCCATGGTTTTTCACTGACAGCATTTTGCTCTAGTTCTTGAATTTTCCTCTTTAGTCGCTCTTGTCGTAACTCCAATGACGATTTCATTTCATTATCACCATTACTTAAATCATCATCACTTATACTTTCTAAAAATTTATTTCGTTTTGATTGTTTATCATCATCTTTAGCAACGAAGAAATCTTTAAACCTTGCTGTTTTAATTTTTTCATCATCATCCTCGGCATCTTCATCAATATCCCCTTTAAATAAATTGATACTGTTATCAGATTCGTTATCTGAATCATTGGAGGCGGTTTCTGCTTTATCACTTTGCATTTTTTTCTCTTCTATATTTAGAAATTTTTCCATTTCTTCTAATTTGAAAAATTCATCGTCGACAACAGATTTTCTTTTTAAAGTATTAAATAATTTAGTATCTTTCGTTTCTTCCTCAGAAGCTTCATCATCACTGCAATTCAACTCAAGTTCATCATTATCACTCTCTGAATTAGAATTAAGGTTTTCACTTATATTTCCCTCAACTGGCACATTATTAACATCATTGTTTTCTATATCTTCGCTTTTCTTCTCGTTGGATACATCTTTTTTCAATTCTTTTTTTATATTATCAAATATCAACTGATTTTTGCCAATGACTAGTTTACTAATATTTGTAATAGACTGAGATAATATAGAATCATTTTGCAATTCAATTTGTTGCCAGATCTGCTCCAAATCAAAATTTTTTATGATTAATTCTGGTAAAGCTGTCGATTTATTTACTTTGTTTTCTTCACACTTAGAGTAATCATAAGTTTTTTTAAGGCCGGACTTTAAGTTTTTCAAAAGAGAATCATTGGCACTGTAATTGCATGTATTTCAATTAATAGTTAATACAAAATTCTTACTTACTTTAAAAAATTTTCAGGTTTTGTTGTGACCTGCCCAAAGTTGTCTAAGATAGTATTTATATTTTTCTTTTGTTTCACCATAATTATTTACGAGTTGTAAAAGATATAAGGTTAAGGCACACCGATTATATTAGGGTTACAAAAGTTGGGTTAATCGTTAAATTCGTTATATTTAGTGGTTATGTTTAAAAAAAACATTAAGCAAAGCTAATATGTGCAGAGATAGGACACTCAAAGTTGTCATAGTGGGTTCAATTGTTTCTGATCGAATATCGAATCAATTCGAAAAAAATAGGGTAAGTAGAATATTAGAGGATGCATATACCGAGAGATCTAGATTGATTGAAGCGTTTGGGGAACGTAGCCTGTTTCTAACACCATCTTTAGCATATAAAAAATTTGTAGTATTGGCAGAGACAGGCAGAGGGCACATGCTGCGATCTCCAAACAGTCCAATGTCTCCAATCATTCTGGATCTCTCTCTACAAAAAGAATTAAGTAGTACAGTGTCAAATGTAAAACCTAAAATTTGTAAATATTGAACAAAACGTGGACAGTTTGTGGAGGCAACAGGCAAAAAGATGGTCAATTGAGTAGGTTAGGTGCATTACATTCAGCCTTAGATTAGGGCTAATCTAAGCATTCAGCCAACAGAATCGATGAGCTTTCACTAATTCATCGGTTTACATCATGCCGATGACCGTTTTTGATGAATTTTTTTGAGCGCAGTGACCGCACATTTTGTTGAGATTTACAGGTTAGAATTTTCCTCAACTTTCTAAAAAAATTTTATTTTTTAACTGTAACATATTTCGATTCATTGCAGATTTTAGTAATAACAATATGACAGATAATAAACAGATATCGGTACATATAAATTTCATCAATGAACTTTATTCAGTACATACGTATAAGTAACCGCACTTATCGAATCTTGAAAACAATGAAAAAATAGCAAATGCGGCCGGTGTAGGCGCTTTGTGGGACCTCCTTTTGTCCTGGCTGGGCCCCGCCGGCTAGGGCCCTTTCAAAATTCATGACCAACCTAGAATGCCCAAAACCTTTTGTAACTTGTGCCGATATGATGGTTATATACAGTGAGATCCAGAATGATTGAAGTGTTTAGAGATTGCAGCCTGTGCCTGTCTCTGTCAGTACTACAGATTTTTATATGCTAAAGATGATGTTGGAACCAGACTGCGTTCCCCAAATGCTACAATTATTCTGGATCTAGCTGTACACAAATCTATTTCATATGGGACAGACTACACGTCTAGATTTTTTTGTACATGCGGGACAAAGTCGCTAACTGAGAAATCTACATACACATTTAAGTATTTACCACGACCTTGAGAGAGGAGCCACAATCAGTGTTGCCAACTGCGACGATTTTTCGTCAAAGATGATTTTTTATGGGTAAAAATTGCTATTGACGAATTGACGAAGAATTTACTCTTATGACGATATTTCTTTTGAAGTACATTAGTTTGGACATTAATGTTCATTTATAATATTTATATTTCACTATTGTGTTGTGGTTTTTTATTTTATTAATGTTAGAGAGGAATTGAGTGAAAGGAGAACAACTTTATCAGTTGGTTCTGTATATGGCATTTTTGCTCCTTTGATGATGTAAAAAATAAAATGAAAGAAATGCCGGTTGCTGAGTTTTGGGAATTTTTATTTAATGTTTGCAATTTTAATGGTGAATATTTATTTAGAAATATAGCCTACTTGGCTAAATTAGTTCTGACTGCCACATTCCAATGCAGAGGCTGAACGCATATTTTCTATAATGAATGATGTTAAATCGAAAAAAAGAAATACAATGGGAAAAGATCTATTGAACTCTATTTGTGTAGTTAGATCAAAGCTCCAATAAACTAATATAAGTAATACCAGTGACTACAATGTAAATCAACAACATATTGATTTAATGAAAACTAATATGTTGTATAAACATAAAAAGTAAGAATTTGTTTTAATGCCAATGAATTGAGTTACATATTATTTTTTGTGCAATTTTTACTAAAGCAATTATTAATTAGTTTTAAGCTTAAATATCCTTCCTTTTTTTATAATATAACTATAGGAACATGGTGGCTTTAATTTTTTCTATTTCAAACTGTTATTTTCAGGTTTATATATTTTATTTCTTTGAATAATAAAGTGATTATAGCGGTATTATTTTTTTGTTTCAAATTTGTTAATAAAAATACTGCATTTTGTTTTTTTTAGTACATTTTATTACATGTTTTTTTTACAAATACAATATGCAGTAAATTTCAAATTTGCAGCGGATGACCAAATGTGACGAATTTTAAAGATCGTCATGAAGAAATTTGCGTTTTGGAGGTTGGCAACATTGGCCACAATCGTCTTGACAGATTTCAAGAAAATTTTCGTATTATTAAAAATCAACGTTTTGTAATTTTTTATTATAATTATTATCAAAGACAGAAAACAATGCTAGATAGATAACAATCCTTTTTATGGATGTGATTTACTGAAAACTGAAAAATCAAGCAATCAAAAATCGAAACCTCGGGTTATTCCCCGTAACGGTATTGTATAGGAGTATTATCAGTTGTTCTAAGTGCAGGGGTATTCACATAATATTGTACCCCTCCTTATCATTTTTGCCTTTCTATCTAGGAAGAAATGGTGAAGATCAAAACTTTAGGAAATTTTCTTGTCATCCCAAAAAAATGCCTGTATAAAAAATCAATTGAATGTTGCATATCAGAGAAAAAAAACAAGACTTTTTGTTTTTTTTTAATGGTATATATTTGTCCTGTTTTTGGGTCCGACTATCAAATTTTGTAAAAACTTATTCAGTTCAGTAAACATATTTAAAATTCCTGGAATTATTATATGTGCAGTAAATTACATTTTAATCTACTTCTTTGAAATATGATGATTAGAATTGGAAACTGAAAAATAAAAATTCAAAGTACTGTGGCATTAATAATAATTATTGAAACTATATAGTTAGGCATACTCTTTATATGCTGTGAAAATTAATTATAGAACAATGAAAATGTATCACATATCTTATCACAGTAACCAAATATTTAGTGTTAATAAATATAAAGATATTTGGAATACATATTTGAATTACACGTTGGAGTAACTTTCCATTCGACTAAATAAAATATGTAAATGATAACTGAAACTGAATAAATATACAACAGGAGTGCAAGTAATAAATTAGATTTTTATTTTTTATGCATTATAAATTTACCTTTGGTATATTTGTACACACATATGGCATACATAGCAATAAGACATTTATGCATAGGTACTTAGTATCAATAACAAATCAAATGTTTAAAAACCTACTCATAAATTGCTGTATACTTAAAACCGAGCTTAAAACCTAAAAATATCATCAACCTTGGTACAAGTCTTCTCATGGAATGAATATAAAATAGTAAAATAAAGTTTATGAAAAAAATACTGGCACTAATGAATATTTCTATAATTTCACATTTTAACATCGTAAAGGTGGGTCGTCATCGTCTAAATCTTGACCTATCATAAATTCGTCATAATTTTCACTCCTTCGATTAAACTTATTCCTAACCCATGTTAAAAGCTGGTACTTCCTATTTACGTATATTCCACATATCACAAATATTATTAAAGATAAAGGTATTAAAATACCAGCAACAAGGGAACCACTTCCTTGATTATCAACCAGACTTGAATAATTAGGTGTGGATTGTGAAGAGATTACTTTTTCCACACAGTACGTGCTGTTTTTTCTCTCAAATCCAGAGGGGCATTGGCAAGATCTTGTGGATTTATCACAGAGTTCCGACTCTGAACATTGGAAATTACTCAGATCAGAGGGATCGCATTGTGTTCTGGCATTGTCTAAAATATATTTTAATAAGAACATGTTTATATCGAAACAATTTGCTTACCTTCTACCACAAAAGCTGATAGAATGAAAAGAATTCCTGTATATATTTTTAACCTTAACATTATGGCATTACATTTCTTTAGATGTTAAATTACAGAACACTGAATTATGATTGTGGTTAAATGGTCAAGATATACAAGTATTTCATTGTGATTGATAAGCTATCAGCATGAAAATAATAATATCTCTATTGTATCAATGATAAAAATTGAATGTTTTATAAATAACAAACAGGGTTCTGGGTTTTTACTACACACCACACTTTTAAATTGTACTGTGTTAAATTAAATAATTTATTTCGTCACTAGAATTATTATTCGGTCCACTTATTCAATTTGTGTTGATGGATTAATTTAAACTAGTCATTTCATGATTCCCATTCCAGGATTCATAAACACTTCTGTTTATTAATGACTGACCAAAACAATTACAGAATGCTGCTTAACCCCATAAGCAGTATCTAACCAATTTGTGTTTAAAACTCTAATCTACTGTTATTAAAATAATTAATAACATGAAAAGAGGGTGCGTCATGTATTATAGAATTTATAAATTAATATTTAGAATATATAGTTTAGAATATTATAAACAAATTTGTTGTAATTTGTCCCTGCCTGACATCTACTATCTTATACAGAAATTATGTTATTATAGATAAGAACCCTACGAGAAAACAGGAAATTGTACAGGCAAAACTTCATTCTGTTCAATTTCCTCACTAGAGGGTGCTATAGTGATTAGTGACTGAGTGCTGAAAACCAATAAAATGAATGTAAAATCCAAAGACTCAATCACAAATCTAGGAAAAATCTAGACTGCATCAGCTGTAAATAGAGGTTAGAGGCCAACAACCTGGAAGGACCGCAACCGCCATTATTCCATGGCTAGAAATTGGCCTCATTGATTTGGGATCGAGGGGGATTATCCCTCTTTATCCTGCCTCATCTCGTGTAGGCCTGGACAGCCTTCGTAGGTGGGCCCCATCCGTCGTCTACCCCGACCGCAAATTCGGCCGGTGTAGGCGCTTTGTGGGACCTCCTTTTGTCCTGGCTGGGCCCCGCCGGCTAGGGCCCTTTCTTCTGGCGCTCTTCTTATGGACCGCAACCTTTGTTACTCATCTTTCGTGATCATGATTTGTCGAAAATACCAGCAAAGGCAGGAGAGTCTGGACTTTTCTAAGTCGGCTGTAAATTTTAGGTCGCATTATGTTGTCTAACCATAAGAGTATTTTTATTTACTTTCTCTTATGTGGTGTCTAACTCCTTATTCTAGGTTCGTGTGTCAGTGGTTCTTTCCACCTCCCCGCCACTTTATATATATTTTTTCTTTCTGTCTTTTAATTATTGAGTTTATGTTTATACAAGCAGTGAAGACGCCATGTTAAAAAGGCGAGCCATTTCTTGGGTCACGTAAAAGCGACGCTGATGTAATATGAAAAAGATGCGTGAGAAATTTAAAATGACAATATTGAAAAATGTAACTTTTATTTAAACTTAATAAATATCAAATAAGTCTTTCAGCTTATCTGCTGCGTCTTACAAGGTACACGTAATTTCGTTTATTGCACTCTCCAGTGCATCAGCGCTACAACGGCGACTCCTTTGGATCATTAAACGGGATACGAATTTGTACGCTTGCACGGTCCATAAAAGTCTTCACTTCTTGTATAAATTTCATAGTTTTTAATGTTTTATAAAGTGGTTTAACCAACGAATGGTTTAACCATGAGTATAGTTACATTAATTACTCATATGGTCAAATGCATAGGTAAAAGCGTTATAACTCTGTTACCACGGTTTCTAAACAAGAGGGCCTTTTGATTTGGCAAAAATAGTAACTATTAGTAGCTAATAGCAAGTAGCAACTTAGAGTTACTCTGCACTGATATTAGTTGCACTATCCCAGGAACCTATCTCCTGGAATCGACAAACACGATACCTGGGCGTGACGATGGACCAGCGTCTCACGTGGAAACCGCACATCGTGGAGACGGTGGCGCGAGCGAAGACCACCAGGGCTAGGCTCTATCCCTTACTCAAAGGTGGAAACACCCTCAGTTTAAGGAATAAGCGAACGCTTATCAAGGTGGTACTTCAACCGCAGCTAACCTACGCCTCCACGGCGTGGGGTCACGCGGCAAAAAGCCACTTAAAGTCATTACAGGCTGTGGAAAACATAGCCCTCCGCACGGCCACCGACGCGCCCTGGTACGTAAGAAACACTGACATATTACGAGACTTACAATACACAAACGCTACACAGACAATAAGACAAAACGCGGAGAAACGATTTGACGTAGCCGCTAGACATGACAATCCCCTCCTCAGGCAAGCCGTTGACTACGTACCCGACGTGACCGACAAACACAAAAGACCTAGACACCAACTTTTTGACCCTGGGTGACCACCCCAATGACCCCCCCCCTGCCCGCTAACCTTTTCTGTTTCAGAGACAGCCAGGATCAAGAAACGAAGACAACGACACACACACACACACACACACACACCCCCCATACCCTCCTTAACCCTCCCCTCCCGCGCTAGCCTAAGGGCCACCTTAGCAAAGCGCATCCCAGGCTGCATAGCCGCACTACCCTACCCAACCATACCACACATAAACATGACACTACCCCCGGGGTTTACACAGACGAGCCGGCGAAGCAAGAAGAGCGCCAGAAGAAAGGGCCCTAGCCGGCGGGGCCCAGCCAGGACAAAAGGAGGTCCCACAAAGCGCCTACACCGGCCGCATTTGCGGTCGGGGTAGACGACGGATGGGGCCCACCTACGAAGGCTGTCCAGGCCTACACGAGATGAGGCAGGATAAAGAGGGATAATCCCCCTCGATCCCAAATCATTGAGGCCAATTTCTAGCCATAGAATAATGGCGCGGCGAGTTGCTAATAGGTACCTACTATTTTTGCTAAAACGAAAGCCCCCCCCCCAGATCTGTATTTGTATTTTGTATTATGTTGCTCTGTTACTCAGTTCTCATGTGTTTAACCAGGGAGACTAGAGGTCTGTTCTGTTCCAACAAGAGTCAGGGATTGGTTCCGAACCGTTTGAAATGTTTGGCCAGCTAAGTTTTAAATGTGTCTTCAGTGAATATATCGCAAGAATTAGTTGGATGCACATTTCTGACGGTTCGGAACCAATGCCTGACTCTTGTTGGAACATACCTTATATAAACTATAACTTTTCGCACTTCCTCTTTTGTTTTGTGGTTAGGAGTAGTGATGGGCATAATCGACCAATTTTGATAATCGAGTTATTGGTAATCGAGTACTTCTAATAATCGAGTGATCACTCGAGATACGAGATATTGGTCGTTTTCATCCCAGCGGCGCACAAATATGTTTGTATTAGTCATATATTACTTATAAGCGTAGCTAAAAAAAAAAAGCTCACGCACTTCAAAACCTAACCTCTTTTTCGTTTTATTCTAAAAAAAAAGGTTACGCAATCAGTGACTATTTGCAGTATGCATTAACATTTTGGGGTGCAACCGTAGGGTAATAATCACTCGAGTGGTGGAAGTAAACATCTCGAGATATCTCGAGTGATCTCAATAATCGAGTACCACTCGATTTTTCACTCGAAATCTCCCATCACTAGTTAGGAGGTTAGGTTATGTTTATTTACATTTTATTGAGCTGAAAGTTAAGAATAGAAATTAAATTTGATATAAACAAATTTAGGGATAAGATATATCCCGAAGTTGTGAAAATGTCTTTAAAATTCAAATTACTTAAAAATGGTGATGATTTAAAGGACTCTACACTGGATATAAACCTCAATAACTGGATGGAATATCGCCGGACACTCATCTCGTTTAAAAAAAGTGTTAATGAATATTTAACTGAACTAGTAGGACAGGAGAAAATTTCAGGTTAAAAATATGAAAAACATTTTATATTATCTATGTACACTAAGAGGTTGTTATTTTAATTCTGCAGATCAGGATGTTGATGAAATTTCAGATAGTTCGGAAGATGAAAAATGTTCCAAGAGGGTATCAACTTCACCAAGTCTATTTGAAAAAAATAAAATACCTAAAATGTAAGCTTTAATGTAAGGTCTGAATAATTGTTAAATATGTTTTTAGATATGTTAGCAGTAAATTTTTTTAATAAGTAATGATATCAAAGAATTCAGAATAAGTACGTAAAAAGTTGATTACAATATACGAATTTTTACTAAGATATATGTATTTTTATCACTGAAAAACATCATAGTTACGTCTAGGTCATAATATTGATTTTATAAGCTTTGCTATCTATATATCTAATGGTTTTAGTAACATTGAAGTGATTGATAAGTATTCTCTTCATTTAGAAATAAATCAGTTCTGCATTCTACTATGATCACAAATAACAAATTATAGTACTGTGTTAATTTCGTAACTTAACTTGGATAAAATTAAATGTTCAAAATATATTGTTTTGCAACAGAACCAAACACCATTCCTTAAACTGAAGTTGAATTTATTTATATTTTGTACTTTATCATAAGTTGTACACGATACTTGACAATTTGTAATTGAATGAAGAATGACGCAAAAATACTGAAACAAAAAACGTGCAGAAGCCGAAAAGTTAAACTTGGTTATGAAAATAACCGGGAATCATTTTTGAATTGACAAATTAGGTTTTCTAAAAAAAAGAAGTTGTAGAAAAGAACTGCCACAGACTGATATTTAATGGTTTAGTTGTCCTACTACCTCTACTGTCTACTACTACTTTTGACTGAATATGATTTATCTAAAGAAAATTCGAATTTAGAGGAAATTATTGCACGCCATCTATTGCAAGGTCTATAAATCTTCTTTCGCCATTTTGTTTTTCAATGTTATGGAAGATTGGATTGGGTAGTTTCTGCACAAGTAAATAGTGATTGGTTATTCGAGGCGGCTTATTTTTCAATCTGAAATAATACATAATGTCCACATCAGTGTTTTTTGTAAATGCGTGAGTATTTAAATTATATTCCTAGTGATTATAGTATTAAAACAAAAACTCTTGCTTCATTCAGAGATTCTAGCGAAGATAAGTCGGATTCGCAATGTGTGGACGATCAGTCGCAAACCCAAAGCGAAGCCCAACAGGCTCTAAATCAATTCTGGCCAAAAGTACTAGAGGAAATTAGAGCAATACGTAATGTAAATAATAAAGTGATCATTATGCTTTTTGTTCGTTAGCAGTTATTGTTACGTTGTAGATGGATTTGAAACAACAAGTACTGCCATTAGCAAGGATAAAAAAGATTATGAAACTAGATGAGGATGTTAAAATGATAAGTGCTGAAGCACCCCTGCTATTTGCTAAAGCCGCAGAAATTTTTATACATGAATTAACTTTGAGAGCCTGGATACACACTGAGGATAATAAAAGGAGAACTTTACAAGTAAGTATGTGCAATTTGTTTATATTTTACCTATCATGTGTGTTTGTAGCGAAATGACATAGCAATGGCTATAACAAAATATGACCAATTTGACTTTTTAATTGATATCGTACCTAGAGATGATATAAAACCAACTAAGACTAGAGAAGAAAATGCACAAAGACCAGGGTCAAATCCAGATCAGGTTGGTATTTTAAGGTTTTCTTACTGTAAATTCAAAATATTGAATTCTGTAAATAATTCTTGATTTTACGCACGGTTTTGAAAAGAGGCATTTTGTCATCTAAGGCCACAAAATGACAAGTCTCAGTCCTTTATCCCAACAGTATATTCTGAAAAGGATTTTTTCGTTTCATCGAAGTTAAAATTTATTTTTAAAAATGGTCCTCACCGAAAATCGACTTTTTGGTATCTCAGATACCAAAAGTACATCCGATGTTCAGATGAAGATGGGGATATTTGTCAATGAGCATGACAAAACAAATTTTGTCCTGGTGGGTTGTTATGTTGCCATTAGAGACTGGATCGGTTCTTTCAGAGATGATATTACGTTAAGAATACTTAATTTCTATCATGCGAGCTTACCATGGGACCTATAGTGTAGGGGGTTAGGTGCACGGGAAAGTGCTAGATAATACAACAGCGTGATGTTATTTTCATAGCGCAACGCTCCAGCGTTGTACTATCTAGCACTTTCCGTGCATCTAACCCCCTATGCTATAGGTCCCATAACGACTCGCACTTGTAATAGAAAATAGTATGTGCAACTCGTTCGGAAAAGTTCCCATAGCGCCACTTGGGCGCTTTCCGCACTCGCTTCGCTCGTGCGTCAACTGCGTCCGCGTGGCGCTATAGGCAACTTTTCCCCACTCGTTACACAATGTACTATTGAATATTTCAAGATTTCTATTTACATCTACAACGACCCAAACTTTGAAATAGCCGATATAGGCTCCGCCTACCATAGACTGCCCTAGCTCAGTTTGAAAACCCACAATTGCCAAGCCCTAGGTCCCTGGTGCGAATCGTGGATGGGTTAGATTTTGATAAATGTTAATATTTTTGTAAAACTATCAAAAGGAAATATCTATTTGCCTACTTTTCTAGTAAACATATAAACTAGTCTTGAAAGTGAATGAACTGTACAGGGTGTCCCGTTTATACAATTGAGGGCGAATTTCTCTTGAAAAATAGTAAGGGTAGTTCATATAACACTTTTCTTCTTACCATTGTATTTCCGAGATACAGGGTGTTAAAGTCACTACTTTCTTTTAATTATCTATACATCGGCTAGAGATAAACCTTTCAAAATTTGTACACAAAAATGTATTAAGTGTTTTGAAAATGTGTAATCTATTCATAATAAAATGTTGGGAATAACATTTTTTTCTTAAGACAATTGATATTTATTCGTGTACAAATTTCGGCCTCTTTATTTTCTGCGGATTTAAAGATAATTAAGAAAAACCCTATTCAAAGTAACAGTTTTCACACCCTGTATCTGGAAAATGCAACTTTAATGAGAAAAACGTTATATGAACTACCCTCACTATTTTTCCCCCGGTTTTATTGAAGCATAAACGGGACACCTTGTACAGTCATAAGCTGCCTTTACAAGTGCAATTTTATTGCAGGTTCATTACTATTTCCAATTAGCTCAACAGCATCACGCAAATTTGCAGAATAACACGTCACCTACCACTACCTCGACAACCGTAGCACAACCTCAAGGTGCCATTCAAATTGTTCAGCCTCAGCAAGTTCAAACTGTCCAAGTGAACACCATTGAACAGGTTCATATGTTTATCTGTCTAAGAATAATGTTATATAAAGGTTTACATCTCTATTCGATTAGTCTTAGTAACTTCTAGGAATTATTAATTTTATTCAATTTAGGCCGCACCTGGTTCGTCTTCACCTACGAACACAACAACTGCACAATCTCCTGTCATTCTCCAGCAGGGCCAAACCATAACCCCTAGTCAACCTGGAAATGTCCAAATTATCCAGCAGATCGTTACGCCTAATGGAGAACTTCAACAGATACCTGTAAGTTCCTGTTATAATAGATTTGAAATAATTGCATTGTTAAGGGGTAACGACACTACCAAAAAATGTACCTGTTGTGATTTCTGGGAAATTCATCTTTTTTTTTTATTTTTGAATTCAACAACAACTGATATCAGCCACATGATACCTTATATTTAAATTTTGGGTAATTGATTTAATTTGAAAGCTGTGAGATTGCGGGCGATTTCTGTGTAATTGTGAAGGATTTCCTGGGTATTGCAGAGGGGGGCCACCCCATCGACAAATATAAAATTTTGACATTGTATTAGGGGAATAAGTTATTGTCCCCATTAAATAAATTTGCCTCAGTCAAATTTTTTGCGCTGAACGTTTTTTAGACCAGGAAAAAGCGCTGGGAAATGACCATTTCGCGACTTTTTGTTTCAGCAAGCTGAATATATCACTATCGATGCTAAATATTATGTACAATAACATTAGTTTCCACAGTCATAAAAATGGAGGGAAGATTGTTTGCAGGCTGGTTAATTGTATAATTTTTACGTAAATTTACGTTTTTCGCTTATAACTTTTTTCCGTTCATTTCCACGAGAAAACAGTAAAGTACTTTTTTTCGTCTTCAAAAGACCTACAAAACAAGCCCTTGAGCGTCAAAAAATATTGATTAGATCAAAAGTTATAAACAGAAGAAATTTATTTATGACGAATTAAACATTAATAAACTGCGTTATTATTACCAGAACGTTTTGGCATCGCATCCTCTCATTCCTTATCATTGTCTAATAACTCGCACGAAATCTGGAATCAGTATTCTTGAATAGTTTACAAGTTATGGCCTTATAAACAAATTAACTAATTATTAGTCTGGACAATCCCGAGCATCTTCCACAATCGCACTGATTTTTTCATGGTAGATTTCATAATAATACATTGAAATCTATCATTTTTATTTTTAAATTTCAAATTTGCAACCTGGAAAGTTTTTTATTTTTTAGCCTTAGTTGCAAAATGAAATATATGACGCACGCGCGTGATATAGTTATATATTATTACATATTTGGAAAGCTTATGAAAAGAGCTTTAAGTTAAAAAAAAATCGTCAAGATTTGTTGAAAAACAACGGAGTTACAGACTGTCAAAGTTGACGGCCTATTCTTAAACAAATTAGGTTGGTAGGGTCAAAAAAAAAATACTGTCATAACCGGCAACCCGAATACTTTCCCAGATAAAAATATTTTATTTGTGGAAGTATGTTAAGTGCATAAGAAATATTGTCAAAAGTCAGTGGGTCGCTTGATTTTTCGGCGAGCCGTGGCGCGGCGAAGGGTGGGGGAAGCGAACAATAGTGAGTGCGAAGAAAATGACGAAAATATTCATAGTTCTGCCATTAAAAAAGCGAAATTCACTTGAAAATAATATATTTGACAGTCTGTAACTCTGTCGTTTTTCAACGAATCTTGACGATTTTTTTTTAACTTAAAGCTCTTTTTATAAGGTTTCCGAATATGTAATAATATATAACTATACCATGCGCGTGCGTGCTTTCATTTTGCAACTAAGGCTAAAAAATAAAAAACTTCCAGGTTGCAAAATTGAAATTAAAAAAAAATAATAGATTTCAATGTATTATTATGAAATCTACCATGAAAAAAATCAGTACGATTGTGGAAGATGTTCGGGATCATCCAGACTAATAATTAGTTAATTTGTATATAAGGCCATAACTTGTAAACATGTAAACTATTCAACTTACCGATTCCAGATTTCGTGTGAGTTATTAGACGGTGATAAGGAATGAGAGGATGCAATGCCAAAATGTTCTGGTAATAATAAAGCAGTTTATAAATATTTAATTCAAAACTTATAAATAAACTTCTTCTGTTTATAACTTTTGATCTAATCAATATTTTTTGACGCTCGATGGCTAATTTTGTAGGTTTTTTGAAGACGTAAAAAGAGTACTTTACTGTTTTCTCGTGGAAATGAACGGAAAAAGTTATAACCGAAAAACGTGAATTTACTATGTAAAAATTGTACAATTAACCACCCTGTAAACAATCTTCCCCCTATTTCTATGACTGTGAAAACTAATATGTTATTGTACATAATATTTAGTATCTTTAGTGATAAATTCAGCTTGCCGAAACAAAAAGTCGCGTCCAACTCTATTTCCTGGCCTATTTTTAGTCAAATCTAAATAAGTGGTACATTGAGAGAAAAATCAATTCACTGGCGCCGATTATATTTTACAGATCCAACTGACACAACAGCAGCTCCAAATGATCAAAATGCAGTTACAAGGGAATTCTTCGCAGCCTGTAATAATCCAAACCGGTCCCATTGCAGCTGGCGCTCAGCCACAATTAATTCAGGTATAGAGAGATAACTTTCATTACATTCATTCATAATACATTTCTTTAGGTAGCGCCACAACAGAATACAGGAGCACAACAGGTGTTTCTAGCACAAAGTAACGGCAGTAATGAAGCTGAGTAAATGGCTCTTCAATCTGTACATTTGTTGTCTATTTTATTTTTAAACAGGGTGACTCGTGATGGAAATAATTCCAAAAAATCATATATATATATATATATATATG